GCGTTAAGTATTGTCTTAGGGGTGGCGTCTGTCCAGCCGAAGCTGCACTAAGTACAAAAACCAACTCAGGCTGCTGCTTCTATTACCATAGGAGTAGACAGCTCTGGGAAATTTAAAAATAATTTTGCAGCTCCCTTTGAGCTGAGACTCACCGTCAGCTGAAACACATTTTAGAGCCCCCGTCGACATGTGTCTGGAGAAGGGGTGGGTTAATAATAGCTTACATTTCTATAGTGCTTTTCATCCCCGAGGATCCTAAAACAAGGGAAACAGGCTGAATCTTTTCTCCTTGTTTAAAGGAAGAACCTAGCGAATTTCAAAGCAATCCTAAACACTACAACTAATTACAAAGAAATTTACTTTTGTAAAGTGTCAGGACATAATTATTATTTTTTTTTAAACTTAAATAGTATTCGCATCGCTCCTGAGAGCTCACAAAGAAGTACCGCCATCACCATTTCACAAGGCTATCATCTCTTTCCAACAAAGACAGTTGCGGTGCCAGAAGATTTAGAGACATCATGGGTGAAAAGATTAAAAATAATAATAATAATTAACAGTGCGCAGGGAGCTCCATCTGGAGCATTTGATAACACAGTGGGAGATAGATACAGATGGGAAAAGGTGGGTGGCATGAGCAGAACGCGTCCTGATCCCATGGGCTTAGGACCCTAGCCATGCTCAGATAAGTGTGGGTTTTCATCCTTTCCACTTCCTGCTATTCAAACAGAACAAACCAGGCCACAGCCACCGTGCCTTACCAGTGTCCAGTGTCTGCACAGTCCCCGGGTCACAGTATTACCTTGCCTGGCATTATGACGTGGTCAGTAATACATTTAGTGGTGTTTGGTAATCCTAGATTAATATAGTATTTCATTCCCTAAAGCTCAGATTCTTGCTTATCTTTCACCCGAGTAATTTGCATACACTTCTACATAGTAATTCCAGGCACAATGCTGGTTATTCTGAGCCTTTCCCTTTGATTGGCAGCTAATTAGAACCCTGAGATGTTGGCAGGTGTTGAGATGAAAAGACATCATAAACCCAGTTACAGCACAGACAATGGCTTTTTAATCGTCTGTTTAAGTCACACAGTGCCTAACTATCTCATGCTTTTAGGATGAGCAGTTCCTTCATCCTTGAGGCTTCCTGAGCAAGGAGGACCTCTACTGTTAAAAAAAGAGCCAACATCTTTGGAGGGAACGCAAAAAGACGAAACAGGAAAGCGTGATCAGGAAGATAACTTTAAAAGTAACAGGATTCTTTTTGATGTGTTTCCTTTGTGTGGAAGTGCCAAGGCTCCCAGGACAGACAGACAAACCCCCGTCTTCCCACTGTCCCTAGCAAGCATGATCTTATCATGAATAAGGCTGAAAGCAAGTGGGTGAGAAGACAAGGTTATCGAGTTCGCAAAAAGGGATGTGGTCATTGCATGGTGGCTCCAAGGAACGTCATCCTTTCTCTTTATTGTTATAGTTTGAGAGGCTAGTGTAGATCATTGACATGAGATCCATCCAGGGATAACACTCTCAGCATAAGAGAAATGTGTAAGGGGAAAACTTTCTCCAACTGTGTCACTCACTGCAGAGGGGGGTGGGGGGAATCTCGTCACGGTGACTGCTTCACCACACACCTGCCTCCCACAGAGGGCTCTGTGAACTCCAAAGATCTCTCCCTCAACTCGATTTCCTTCAAAAAAAGGTATTGATCACCCAAATATTCACAGAAGATCTCATAGTCACATAGACTTAGGCTTAATGGGGAGTATGAAAGGATCGAAGAGGCTTTGGTTTCAAGAAACTGTAAAACTAAGATATATATATTATGTATAACAGAAACAATACAGCAAAGGAGATAAATGCATTCAAGTGTGAGCTTCCTCAGAGCGAAGCGTGCTTTAATAGTAAGTAACGGATTCATTCAACAAAATAAGAGAACTTTGAAGACTGCAGAGGTCCGCGAGTCTGAGGGACAGAGCCCTGAAGGTAAAGAAAACTAAGTAAACAAAAAGAGAGGGCACCCCCACTTAGAAACTGGGGTTGAATTTCCATGGATAAAATGCATTCATAAAGATGTGTTTTACAGATTGGAAATAATGCAGGCCGGCTGAAGGGACAGGGTCATTTAGGAAGGTACTATCTTACCGTGGTGTCACGTGTGATTGCGACATGAAAAAATAAAAGAATGTGGAAGTGGGACAGAAACAAGGTTTGTAGCTCTGAGGCCTGATGCTGGTCAACAGGAAACTTTACTGTACATATACACACATAGGCACATATGCATACACAATGTATGTAACAGCAATTAATGAGAAAAAGAGGCCATGACCTTGAAACGGAGCAAGGGGGGAGGCATGTGGAAAGGTTAGAGGGAGCAAACGGAAGAGGGAAATTATGTCATTATACTATAATCTCAAAAATTAATATTTTTAACCACAAATGAGGGACTTCATTCTGCTTGAAAGTCTCCTAACCAACATATTTTAACTAAACCATATCTTAACTAGACCATATGAATTTGTCATCATCCCTATGCTCATAAGGTACAAATATCTTACATTACTACCAATGACTCGGTGTGTGTGTGTGTGTGTGTGTGTGTGTGTGTGTGTGTGTGTGTGTAATATCACATATTTTATGTGTCTGAATTTATCAGAGAACTTCTTGGCATGTCCCAGTATCCTGAGATGAGATCTGACATGCCTAGATAAAATAACATACAAATAGCCACCAACAAAGCAAAATAAGCCAAGGACATATGTTCCTGTGACAGAACTCTACACTTATTAATCAGTAAGTCAAAAAATCATCACTAAGTCATAACTTTAATTAGATTGTACAATTATTTGGATCACTATAGCAACATCAATTTTTCAATACACTTGAATTTTCTCAGATGACTCAGTCCTATTACTTTGAAGTGAATTTAAATTCATCCTTCCATGATAAAGTATAAATATCACAAAAATTGTTACATAGAGAGAAACATAAAGGAACTTTCCAAAACTTGACAATAATTCTAAAAGCTCTCATAATATTATTAACAGCAAAATACTTTCAATAATCAAAAGCAAACTTTGATCAGCTATGCTGAAGAATGTATGAGTTATCTTTCTATCTTTAGAAAATGTTCAAAATAATTGTCATGTAAAAAGATGATCAAAAAAGATGTAGCTAAAATTCATGAAAATGACATTATAGAGATGTGTCGACAATTGACTTACAAAAAATATTATTTTCCAACTCCTGCATCATTCATGAAATTTCCTGATATTCAAAAGTGACTTTGGCCAGGGAGATGAGTTAGTAGACAGAGGCACTTGCCACCAAGCCTGACTACCTGAGCTCTGTCCCCGGAAGTTGCATGGTGGGAGGACAGAGCTCGCTCCCACAGGGTGTCTTACTCCACTTGTGCACAGTGGCACATGTGTGCATATGCACACATATGCACACACACAAAATAAATGCAAGACATGACTAACATGTTGTGATTTCTTTCCTCGTGGTAAGTAGACACGTTCGTCTGATTTTGCATATTTACCTTTGTAATGTTTTTCTCTTAAACAGGGCTTCATCTTGGGTTCAAGCATTACAAAACCTGAACCTGTCTGCTAAAGGCACTCAGCATCTAAACATTCTCCTAATCCAGTGTGGCGATGCCATCTTCTGAAGTCTCAAACACAACACACACCTACAGTGAAATCTACTGTTAAAATAGGACCCTGAACTCATGTTTCAAATGGTCATTTCAGTGATTTTGAATCATTTTGGCAAAATTTTTGTCAGCTCTAATACTTTGCATTATGGTTTCTATGCAGTGTGGACCAGAAGGTAATTTATATTAAGAATAAAAATGTGGTCATATTGTTCTCTTATACTTACAGTTACTATTCTTTTTGGGTTTTTTTTTTCCTTCCTGAAATATCTTTAGGATGTTTGCCCATACCCGAAGCCGTATAATCAGTAAACCCATAGCCAAAGCTGAGTGTGACTCACATCTCTAACTCCAGCACTCAGAAGGCTGATAGAGTAGGATCATGAGGAGTTCCAGACCAGCCTGGGCTACAGTAGGAACCTGATTCAGGAACAAAAACAGGCAAGGCTGCAGAGGCGCCTCAACAGTTGGAGGTGGGTACTCCTTTTCCAGAGGACTGGGGTCAGTTCACAGAGCCCACATCAGGAGGCTCAAACCACCTATGACTCCAGTTACAGGGGATCCAATCCCTCCTTCCAGCCTCCATGGGCTCCTGCATGCCTGTGGTACACATAAACTCACACAGGTAAACATAAATAAAAATAAAATTTAATATCTTCAAAAACAGTCCTTCTCTAACCATATGCATATATGCATAGAAATAGAAATACATCATGATAAGATGGCAGTTAAAAAAAATGAATGAGAGTAATAGTTTAATCTCCCTTAGCTCTTCGGAACTCCATCCGTAAGAGACACGAGATCATCTAGCATATAATCTGAAAGGTAGTTCCTGATTCAGTGAAATATTAGCAATGTTAAATTGCTTTTCTTTTTTAGTTAGATTACATAGATACAATTGTTAACACAGAAATATTTTAATCCTTCTACTAAATTCTTCCTATTCCAGACTTCTAGAGGGTTGTTTTTCACTTCCCTTGAGTCTGTTCACTTTAGAGACAATAGTGAACTTCTTTTTCAAATATTTGTTTTTATTACTTTTTAACTGTGTGTGTGTATGTGTGTATGTGTGTGCTTGTGTGTGTGTGTGTGTGTGTGTGTGTGTGTGTGTGTGTGTGTGTGTGTGTGTGTTGGGTAGGAGTGACTATGGGCACATAAGTGCAAGTGTTCCAGGAGACAGGATCCCCTCCCAGCCTGGTTCTCCACGAAAGCACTGGGCCATCTTTCTAGCCCCCCTAGTGAACTTCTTTTAATCAAGAAGAGGTTGGGGAATGGAGAGGAGGGCACAGGAGAGCAGAGGAGAGGAAGGAAAGAGAAGGGAGGCCACTAAGGGTTTTTTAACGGAAGGAGAGACATGAAGGCAATTATTCCGAAAGGAGTTTAGCAAGAGCTTGAGATGATCTCTGAAGTTAGGAGGTAGAAAACAATGAGTTAGAAGGCCAGCCCAACGATGCCAAGTGAGGCAACATGAACAAAGTTCATAGTGTTGAAATGAGGATGACGGAGGAAGAACAAGAGCCGTGGATCTGACCAGGAGTGTGTGGACTTTGCAACGCGTTCCTTCACAGCTCGGGTGTAGAGATAATGGGACAGTTGCTGCAGTCTCTGTCCATACACCATATTTACCAGACTGCGCATGTCCGCTGGGAAAACAGGGAGCGGAAGTGTCACAACCTGCCAAATAGACATACTAGAGAAATGAGAGCACAAACACATGGCATTCGGCTGACTAATTAAAACACTAACGTACCTTAAAATACTAAAGAGCCAAAAGCCGGTTGTGTGGAGCCAGCCAGAGGAACGCAGCAAACTAGATATTCAAAGTGGAAGCGTCTCACCTTGACCTCGGTGGACACTGTTCTTCAAAACGTAGCCAAGTCTTTAGTATCCACAGTTTATAATAAATTCAGGTGAGTAAAATAATTTCATTTAAAAAGTCCTCAGTGAACTACCTCATTCTCCTTGTTGATAGACCAGAAGAGTGAGTCTGAAAAACTGTGTATCAAGCCTACTGTGTGGTAGCTCCCCTCTTTAATCCCAGCACTCAGGAGGCAGAGGCAGAGGATCTCTGAGTTCGAGGTTGGTCAGCCTGGTCTACAGAGTGAGTTTCAGGACACCCAGGGCTGTTAGACAGAGAAACCTTGTCTCCAAAACAAAAACAAAAAGAAAAACTGAGAAACAAAACCACCTCATGCTACATGCTACTTAAGATGTGTAGGGTCATCAACTGTCTCACTTATTCAGAGGGCCTGGTCCAGTTTCATGGGGGCTCCTCAGCTATTGGTTCACAGTTCATGTGTTTCCGCTAGTTTGGCTATCTGACCCTGTGCTTTTTTCAATCATGGTCTCAATATCTCTTGCTCATATAATCCCTCCTCTCTTGCTGTTTGGACTCCTGGAGCTCCACCTCGGGTTTGGCCATGGATCTCTGCATCTGCTTCCTCCAGGCCCTGGATGAGAGTTCTATCATGACAGTTAGGGTGTTCGGCCATCTGATCACCAGAGCAGGTCAGCTCAGGCACTCTCTTGACCATTGCCAGTAGTCTATAGTGAAGGTATCTTTGTGGATTCCTGGGGAACCTCTTTAGCACTCTGTTTCTTCCTATTCCCATTAGGTCTAACTGTTTAGGAGGCCCCCAGGCAGTGGGACTGGGACCTGTCCTTGGTGCATGAACTGACTTTTTGAAACCTAGTGCCTATGCTGAGATACTTTGTTCAGCCTTGGTGCAGGGAGGAGGCAACTGGACCTGCCTCATCTGAATCTACCAGGCTGGGTCCCCAGGGGAGACCTTGCCTTGGAGGAGGTGGGAATGGAGGGTGGATTGAGGGAGGAGGCTGGGGGTGGTAAGAGGGAGGACAGGGGAATCCGTGGCTGATATGTAAAATTAAATTACTTATAAAATAAAAAATAAATAAAATAAAATAAATCCCTCTGAAGGGATCCCTAGGCCCTTTAAAAAAAGACATGTATAGTGCTAACCTACTTTTCAACACTGAAATACTTTAATTTTGCTATTTTTTTTTAATATTAGAACATACTTGGTATTAAACTCTAACCTGGCTACTGAGTCTCCAATCCTTCTCCCTGCTAAGATACTTTTGTATTTCGGTAGTTACATAAAAATCTTTAGAAAGAAACAGTTACTTTTTCACTTAACATACTTAATTCTGTTTCTTATGGAGTGAGAGATGAAGATTACCCTGTGTCTTATCGCCCCTCCAACCCATCAGAAAGCAGTGTATCCAGTGCTGTTGCAGCTTGCTTGTACCAATTTGTAATAGTCAAGTGTGTCAGGAGAGTGCAAGCTAGTATTTAGACACGACTATTATTAAAAATCGCACAGACCTTCAGCAGAATGAGTAATTAAAATACGGGCATAACTCTTAGAACACTTCCGCTCTGTTATTAGATGTCGCTATTACCTGTGTTCTTGGGTTAGTCGTGCTCACTGTGTGTGCTCGGCAGAAGAAATACCTGACACCATGCCCCTGTGCGTGTCATCCCAGCTCTACTCAGGCATATTGTAGTCTGATCAAGGCCCGAGTGGAAGTATTCAATCATGAAAATCGGCAAATACCAAAATCCAGACTTGATTCACTGGTTTGTTAATTTTTTTTAGACTTCAGATAAAAAAAAAAAAAAAGGAGAGAACTTGAATAGTCGGATATTTCAAATGTGCCGTGTCTGTACCCACTGAATTGTGAGTAGAACAAAATATAATGAAATGTGTCCCCATTGTTATCAAAAATATTCGTGTCAGCAAGGAATCCGCTCATTTCCTTAGTGACCGAGTGGCATATGGCTCCAGTCACTGTCTTGCTGTTCATTATTTCCTGAGGTAAACAAAAACTCCAGAAACGTTTACATCAGAAGTACTCTTGTGTGTCACTAGTTGTCAGATTTCTGAGAAATCAGAAAGACATTATGCTAGGATCCACTACTATGAAATTTACAATAAAATTTTTTGTGTACTTTTTATTACTTGTAAATTATTTGCTATATATCCTTTTGTGGAGCACATATAAAAATTCATGATTAACATGCACAAATATGTAAATTTGGAGTGTTTTTTTGTTAAATCTTTACCAGTACATCACTGGTTACATAATATTTTATTTAATTAAATGGTATTTGCATGATATGAGCAAAATATCTAGATGAGGGTTTTATTTAATTGCATTTGTTTATCTTAGGGCTGCTAATTATCTTTCATCTCTAGAATCTTTACCATAATAATTCTCCAATTTTTATCCCTTGGATCGAGGTGACTGTGGAGTCTTCACAGGATATAGAGAGAAATAACTCTCTCTCTCTGTGATCACTGTGTAATCTTACAAAGTTGGGCTGATTTCGTGCTAGGCTGACATGGCAGCATTTTTCTTGAGACAGTAATCACTTTAGTTGTGTGTGTGTGTGCGTGTGCGTGTGCGTGTGTGTGTGTGTGTGTGTGTGTGTGTGTGTGTGTGTGTGTGTGCATGTATGTGGGCATATGTATGGAAGCTAGTCACAGTTGGGTGTCTTTCACAATGACTCTCCACTTTATTCTTTTTTTTGAGGTACAGTCTCTCCCTGAGCCCAAAGCTCAACAATTCAACTACACTGGCAGCCTGCACGCCCGAGGTCTGTGTCAGCCAGCCTCCCCGGTGCTGGAACTACAGGTCCACACAGGCCTTCACACGGGAGCTGGGATCTGCAGTAAGGAATCCATGCTTCCCTAGCAAACGCTTTACTGACCAAGACACCTCCCCAGCCCGACTCTTCAAACATCTCAAATCTCCTTCTTTCCTTCTCCTGTTCTACTAAAGCAGAATATTAACTTGACTTTGTTTTCAAGAAAGACATGTGAGGCCAAAATGAAAGGTTTGTATTCTTCCCTAAGTTTATTGTCACTTTGGCTGGGTATATAATTCTCGGTCTGAGTTCATTTTCTTTCAGATTTGAGATTATAACTCTCATTTTCTTCTAATCATCAACATTTTTTATAATTCAATATTTTGGGTATTTCCACTTTGAAAGTAAGGTAAATGTTTTTTAAGAGGGTTTTTTTTCATTTATTTTATAAAACATTCTATGTTCCAAACAATCTCCAACTAGGCTCTTAGATAGTAAACTGCAAAGTTTATTTTGCTTTCCTAAATATGTCCAGCATCAATCAGTATACCAAATAAATGACCCTATGGGCCCTCCAACAAAGTGTGCATTAAATACTTTTTAAATGAAAAATTATCCAAACTGAGAATATAGCATTTCACTTGTATATTTAAAAGATTTGAGAAAGTGCTGGGGTGGTGGGTACTTTGGTAAATACTTGCCATGCAAACATAAGGATCTGAGTTTAGATCCCCAGGTAAACGCTGGGCATGATGGTGAACACTTGCAAACCCAGCACCCATGTCAGAACCTGGCAGATCCCTGGAGAATACTGTGCTACATGAAAAGAGAAAATATCCCATGATATCATTGATATGTGGAATCTTTAAGTCATACATACAGATGGAGAATTAAACAGTGGGCATTCCTGTGGGGATGAAAATAAAACATTTAGTCGCAAGATAGGAAGCAGAAAATATGAAAATAAAAAATAAAATCAAATAATAAAAATAACTAGAGTAAAATAAAAAACAAACAAATAAATAAAAGGATTTAATATATACCATGAGGATGTCATTAGTAATAGTGTATTTATTGTGTTTAGGAGGCTTACAAAATGAATACATTGTAGGTGCTCTTCGCTGCAGAAGACATGGCTGCCTACGTGAGATGGTGGTTATGCTCATTCATCTCACCACAGTAGTGATTTTACTGTACGTGTCCATAACATCATGCTGCACACCTTAAGTAATCACAATAAAGTGTATTTTCCCAATGAAAAAGGAATTCGTATTTATAATACAACTTGTGAGAGTGACAAAGTAAAACTGTGTCGCACAACAAAAACCACATTTTCCCCAAACTTCCTCACTTTGGATGACAGTCCCTAAGGAACAGATTGATTCTCTATAGTGCATCGTGTGGATTGGATGACAGTCCCTAAGAAACAGATTGATTCTCTATAATGTGAAGGCAAGTTCTGCAACAGATTCCCAGTGAGCCTCACCATTGTTACTTCTGCTTCCACTACAGAAGCCGAGGTTAGTCATTGTGTGTGTGTGTGTATGTGCGTGTGTGTGTGTGTGTGTGTGTGTGTGTGTGTGTGTGTGTGTGTGTGTGTTTTCCTTGAGCATATAAATTTGGTCTGATAATGAAGTTTGTCTGTGTTTTTTTGGGCAGGAATTATTACAGAATGTCATCTTACATAAAAGAACCAGGCAAAAACTAGTCGGGACCAGTATGGTAACACATGCCTGTAATTCCCGGACTAAAACAAAGATTAAGGAGTGGAGATCCAGTTCAAGGCCAGACTAACACAGATGTCTTTATTTTTACGGTTAATAGACATACACTTTTATGTACTAAAATGTTTAATAGTTTGAATTTCTCAGGAGTAGAACCCTGGCGCTTCACAGGCCAATCCAACAATTTTCCTTCTGTACAAAATGTGTGTCTCAACCTCTAACCCTGTGACTCTCGCTCCCTGAACTAGGGATGATTTTCACTATCCTGTTGGCTTCTATGGGTTCTCCATTAATGTACAAATCTACTGCAATTAAAGATGGAAGGGAACAGAGTCCAACACAAGTGTACAAGGAAGCTGGGCAGAGTGTAATTTAATTATCAGAGTTGGAATTTGTCCAGGACTCCACCTGCCATAAGGAAAGTACCCTGGGATCTTTAATGACCACAAGTGGTCAGGATTCTGGTTTTATGGTTTGTCCAATTAATTTTCAAGCACATCTTCAGCTATAGCATTAGGTAAAGGAACTGGGGAATCCACTCCGCTAATAAAGAACCTGGGGACTTGTACTAGTTTCCCAGAGGAATTGTCAAGGTACATGGATATGTGTGCATGATCACATAAACATACTTAGTAAGAAGTACTTCCATGACAGGTAATGAACAAGACACATCTCAGCCATTTCTTCTCCATCCAATTTAGGTGAAATTGTCTCTACAGTGCAAGTCAGATTAGGATTGAAAATGCTGGAGTCTGGGAAGATTCTAGCATCTATCTCTGCCTTAATAATGGTCAAATGTAGAGTGCACAGGTTGTTTTGTACATGCCCTCTGGAAGAATTCACTGTCATATTCGTGTGTGTGTGTGTGTGTGTGTGTGTGTGTGTGTGTGTGTGTGTGTATCACACTCAGGCTTTCTTTCAAAATCTTGAGGTATTCTCCAAAGTGAAATTTCAGTATAAAAATTTCAACTGATCATATTTTCTATTAATAAACTGCTGGTTTCTTCAATTAGCGCCCTCTTCAAAGTAAGGACTGTGGTCCCTACTATTAGAAACAAGAAAAGTCTGAGGAATTACTGTTTATGTGTATTTCCCTTAGTGAAAAGCAGGACTTTTCAGTGGTGAAGAGCACTTGCTGCTCTTCCACGGTCAGTTCCTGGCACCTGTGTAAGTAAGGTGGCTCAGAACTGTCTGTAACCCCAGCTGAGGGCTCTGTGCTCTGTGGGTAGCTGCATTCATGTGCACATACCCATATGTAGATAGACACACACATACACATAGGACAAATTAATGTTTTTACTGTTTTAAAAATCCTAGCTCCATGTACCTAGACATCATTCCGTTGAAAAAGGCATCAGTATGACCTCTGGTGTTTATTAAAAGCAGACATTTCCTGGCTCTAGTTCATACTGATCCAATCACAATGACTAAGGATGGGATCCAGGTGTTTGAAATTTAGTAAGCTCTGAAGGTCAGTCTGTTTTTGAGACTCAAAATTCTGACCTCCTTTGGAGATAACAACATGTGATTGTGTAATTCTGAGACGGAAACCACATCAGTACATCACATAGAATCTACACACTGTCTTTCTCCCATTACTGTGTTTATTTTCTTTCGTGAATAGCTTCTATTGTAGAGCCCATCACTGCAATCATCAAGTTTAATTCCTTTTTCTTCAGGAGCCATTGTGTAAAATTACTTTGGGATCTTATTAAAATTCAAGCTAATTAGCCTGACCATATTTATTTTCACACTCTGATAATGTGAGCAATTCATGAGAGACACAACACTTGAGACACAAGGGAAGTTAGGATGCCTGTGACGCAAATACAGGCATTAGAAAAAGATGATTGGACAATATCAAACTAACTGCTACTTCTTCCTGTTACTGTAGGTGATCTCCCAACATAATGTTTTGTTTTTAATTAGGGGAAGAGGAGATGTTTGAAGACACTACAGAAATCTGGTACGATAGCAGCCAGGGTTGGAGAAGACAGCTTTGTCTCGCCTGTGCAATTGAGGGTATTATTTATCTGTAAAATGAGATGCTTGCAGAGTGACATCTAAGTCCCTTCTTGCTTGAAATTGACAACAGTCCACAAATGTTACGAGATTTAGTTTTGATGAATGTGCAAAATTAGCAGGCACCTGCTACCTTCAAACACAGAAGAATGATGTGATATTTAAAAAGAAGAGCGGTGTTTCTGGGCCAGAGTGAAGGGTTGCCCAGATTTCTCTCGGTACTGTGGGGTTTCCCATGTCACAGACCTGTTACTGCAAACACCCGCACAGTCCAAGGCAAACCAGAGTGACTGGACACCCTACAGAAAGAGGTTGAGTTCATAAGATATAAATGAAACATTTTTAATGTTGTAAATTGCATTACCTCTATAAATTACCTCTTGGCACACTGAGACGTAATCTGGAATTTCCAGGTTTGGGTCATGCTGATGAGACATAACAAGTTACTTCTAAACTTGAACGTGTGCGCGCGCGCGCACGCGCGCGCGCGCGCGTGCACGTGCACTTGCACACCGCACATGTGTTTGCACTCATGAATGTGCATTTGCGTTCCTGGGTATCAAACTCAAGACTTTCCACATGGTAGATAATTATTCTTCCACTGAGCTATATCATCGTTTATTTATTTATTTATTTATTTTATTTATTCATTCATTCATTCATTTATTTATTTATTTTAGTTTTTCACATAGGGCTTCCCTAGTTACCCAGCTAGCCTTAAACTCAGGCTGTAGCCCAGACAAGCTTTTAATCCACAATTTCCCTGCCTTAGCCTCCCAAATAGCTCATTACCTCTGCTATCAAGTCCAGACACTTCCAAACCTCTGAGGTATTCCAGCCATGGTTAGGAGATAAAATACAATCTGAAAATAACATGATCTGTCCTTTACAAGTCAGGAATGGGTTCAACAAAGGACAGAAGAGCAGTGAGCAGGAATGTAGAGAGATATCTTCATTAGAGAGGAACCTGAGCAGGGGTGCTATTGTACATAAACTCAAGGAATAACGGTACTTCAAGCTGAAAGCTAATCAGAAAGCCAATTATAGTAAAAGAATCAGTGTCTCTCAAACAGACCCAAATATGTACAATCCAGTTGACTTTTCTTACCAGTGTCTGTGATCTTAGGTAGCAATCATACCGAGTTCCTAGCTTCCTAGCCTGTATATTTCTCACTCCCATACACACCTGCTCTGTAGACTAAAGAACAGGAATCCACTCAAGTTTCTTCTAAAATTTCATGAAACTTTGTCTTGAAGTTAACATGAACAATGCTACAAAGCTTAAAGTGCAGTGTGGTGAGAGGACTCTGGGATGCTGAGTAAGAAACAACAGTATCCTTTCTGCCCCAAACAAAAGTTGCACCACGATGAGGCTAATGTAACAATGTTTACAGCCCCTTAAGGTTTGCAACTTCCAGGGCTGGGTGACGGATGGTGATTAATTCTGAACAATCCCAGCCCTGCCTAGGCTCTTTACACCCCATCTGATAGCAAGCAGCTGTGCATGTGTTTCTGGAAGCATGGTCCTCCAAGAATCAGAAATCTACTCTGATCATTGGTCTGTGCTTCTGATCCCAGAAGCCCAACAAAGAGACAGCGGCCATTGTTGTTACATCTCCCTCCATTGTCGTGAGCCTTCTGCATCTCTGGAGGGCTTCCAGAGGATCTGAAGGGCTGCTACATCCCTGCTCCTTCCCCACCCTCTGATGACCATGTAGATATTCAAGACTAGAACATTCAAAAAAAAAAAAAAAAAACCTCTATCTGTGGTGGAAAACAAAATATCACTGTGATTATCAGGCTGTCTTGTTAACCTGATTTCTTTGATTTCACAGGTTTTTTGCACTTAAGAGGTTTCCTTGAATTTTAGAAGAGACTTTAGACTTTGGAGTTTTAAACAATGTTTGGACTGTTAAAGGTTATGGGGCATGTTAAAGAGCAGAGTGTCATGATTTAAAGGTGATATGCTAGGAAGTCATGTTGACAAGGGTTGGGCGTGTGACAATTTATCTTGATTGTCAGCTTGACAAGATTGCAATCACCTAGGGAACAAGCCTCAGGGAGTGTCTGTCGGGGCGTTTCTAAGGAAGCTTGACTGAGGTAGAAAGACCCTCATTGGGTTTGAGAGATACCAATCCATGGGCTGGGGTCACTAGCATCCATTTCTCTCAGCCTCCTGGTAGAATAGGCAATGAGACTGGCTACTTCATGTTCCTGCCACCAGGCACAGATCTGGCTTGATCCCTAGCACCTCTAGAACACATGAGCACAACTGTCTTAAAAAACAGTTAAAGCAAGACACAGAGAACTTCGAGAAAATAACAGATGAACAAAACAGAAACATCACTAAGGAGAAAGAAAAACCTCCCAACAAACCAGAAGGGAGCCTTCAACCTGTAAACCAAAATGCCTAGAACAAAAAATTCACAGGAGAGATTCTACGGCAGAATTGAATAGGAAGAAATCAAAGTCTATTGATTCAAAATGAAGATAGGTGGTATTAAGTCTAAGCAGAAAAGAAATGGTTGAGCAAATAGAAAAGGGTATAAGGAACCCTGAGATGTGTTCAAGCAGACCAGCATACACATAACAGGACAGAGGAAGAGAGAAAATGCAACAGAATTGGAAAGTTGTGATTCCTTAGATTTGGTAAAATACTTCATTACAAACATCCACGAGGTTTAATAAGCTCCAAATAGAATGAACTCCCAAATAGCCACATTAAGACGCTATAACCAAACCATCAGATGCCAAAGAGAAGTGACTCAACACATATAAGAGAGCCTCAATAAAATTATCAGACCATTTCTCATCAGAAATCCGATAGACCATGGCTGGGGAGATGGCTCAGGGGGTAAATGTGCTTGCCACGCAAGCCTGACGACCTGAGTTCAATGCCCACAGTCCACATAAAAGCCAGACCCGGTGGTATCTGTAATCCCACAGCTGCTACAAGAGAGAAGGCAGAAGCAGGAGAGTCGTCCCAAAGCTCCTGGGCTGGCAAGCCTGGAGTGCACTGTGGGGGACAAAGAGCCAAAGAGACCCTGCCTCAACCAGACAGAAGGGAGGACCAGCCCTCAAAAGCTGTTCTATGATCTCCAAATGTGCACTGCAGGGCCTGTGTGCCTGTGTGCTTGTACACACACACGTACACACACACACACACACACACACACACACACACAAATAAACAGTTTTTAAAAAGAATGGCCATACTAATATCACACACAACTGATCTTAAGCCCATAAAAGGCTTTAATGGGTATAGAGTTTGTTTTGTAATCTTAAGATTACAAAATTCTCAGTTAGTGACCAGTGCATAATAACATAAATTCACTTAACACCACCAAACTACACACTTAAAGTGATTAAGATGTCAAAGTTCATGTTAAGCTTATCTTGTTAGAATAAAAATTTGAAAGAATGCAAATAGATATTTGATTTATTCAATTGTCTAAGTCAGGAAAAGGGGGGGCGGGGAGACAGCTTTTTAGAGGTGGTTGCAGTGTGTGACAAAACCCTGCCCCTAAAACCAGTGGACTCATTTCTGCCCTTTTCTTAACCGACATCTCAGCCTCAGTTAGTACCAGTGATTACTTCAAAATATATGACTTCGAAATAGGACTGTGAAATATGACTGTGCAACACCTTCCCGTCAGCCATAGTCGGGATTGAGGGGGAACAAAACTATAGAAATTCTGATCCCATATTAACAAAGCTTTGACGTTCTGTTCATCGCGGACTTTTTGTTGACTTCCTTTTGTTTCCAGGGCACCGTTGTCACTACGGACTCTCCTCAGCCATCTTGGCACCTCCTCCGCTATCTGTCCAGGCAACACCGCCAGTCTCTTCCAGGTCTTCTCTGCCCACACACACCATCAGCATCATCTTCTATGTTGCTTCTATGTCCTCCTGATGGCTAACCATGCCCTCCTCAGTTCACCCTCCAGTCACACTACAGGAATAACAGCCCGCTAATCAAGCCCCATCCTCCATGCCTCCAGGTCAGTTCATTCCCATTCCTGAACACATTTTCGCTTCCAATGAAGTACTTAATCTTGCCAAAATTTCAGTCTCTGAATTCATCAAAAATCACAGCCTTGCCTTCCCGATGCCTGCCTTGGAGCCTATGGTAAGGGAGGAGAAAAAGGGCGGCAGGAATCCTGTAAGACCTCCATCTCGTCTTCACTTCCATTCTCGCCGCCAGTTACTCACATGTGCCAAACTCTCAGTTGCGCAATCTCAAGAAAGCCGTTCTGTTACATGGAGTAGTTCCTTGAGCCGCCGCAAGTTTCTACTCCCCACTTCAGCCTGCATACTCCTTATACATGCGCGTAGTCCACGGAGCCCTTCTCCGGCCTCTTGGCCGTACTAGGCTTCCCTTGCTATGTGCAACTCTAAAATTCTATGTCATCTTTTCTTTTAGAGCCTTGGTACACATTATTGTAACTACTCACTCTGTACTTTTTATTTCCTTCACTTGATGAGGGCGAGGGAGTACTTCGTTTTGCTCTCTATCATACAGCCAGCCATAGACAGGTACCTAGCACTCACCAGACCTCTGCTAAGTAATTAAGTAAGGGAGGGCAGTCAGCGAACATGAAACACCATTCCAACAAAGTCTACACAGTCAATGGACAATTGAGCCAATGAACAAAAGGCAGCAGACACAGATATCACACGTCCAGCCATGACTAGGAAGCAGCTAATTTGCAAGCCCCACCTTTTCTTAATCCTGGAGTCGTTTCTCTTGCAAAATCCTCCTGCGCTGCTTGTGGAACAGGCAGAGAACATTTCCGCTTGTTGGCTTGGCTATCCTCGGGCCTCTGGGCATCTTGGCAGGCCCTGCAGGGCCATCTGGCCTTCAGCATCCTTCCTGAAGCTCATTTCGGCTCCTCTGTGATCAAACGCTCTGCCATTGATCTTTTCCAGGATGTAAGATCGTACCTGCTGTTTCCTGGCTACCGCATCTCCTCATGGAGTAAGGCCCACATGGCTTTGCACCCTCCCCACCCCCCCCACCCCCCACCCCCACCCCCACCCCCGTGTGGAAGAGGTTCAAGTTTCCCAAATTCTAAAAGTTCACCGTAAAGATTTGGGGAGCCCTTCTCAACAGAAGTCCATAGCATTCTGAAGTGATTATGCTCATACAGTGAGTAAAAGTAGCACATATGATCTTACTAGACAACAGTGGAAGAGGTAAAAAATGTCTAATTCCCTAAGTTAAACAATAATCGCTGCCTGACTTTCAACCTGTCTGTTGAACACTCATGGCTATATACAAAACAAAGGTCAACAGAACAAAACTAATTAATGCAGCAGTGCTTGGCTCCCAGGAACTTCACTGAAGACTATGG